GTGGGCAAGGCCAAGTATGTGCTTTATGAGTTATTGTATGGTATGTGGTAGTTTTGATGAGCTCACTAAGCTTTGTGCTTACAGTTTCAGTTTTGATTTCAGGTACTTCCGCTAGCAAGGGGAAGAGCTTGGGATGATAGCACGGCACACACCACAGTTGCAGTTTTATCTTGTGAGTTTTATTCATATATTTTGATATGATATTAACTTCAGTTTTGAATTGATACATTTACTATGGCATTTTAAGACATACGATTCATGGTTTTATTATATAACATTTGATGTTATGATTTTTAGTAATATTAAAACAATTTTTTTTTTGGGTTGTATTTTTCGAACATTACAAGTATGCTTATGGACACGTTGGCCCATCGAGCATATGATTGATTTGGACCATACTAGCAATGAAAATGGACCACTAAGGCCCAATAGCATGTAAAAGTCATTGATGGTCCATTAGACATGTAATTTGATCGCCGGAAGCCTAATAAACATGTTTTGCTTATATTGGGCCCAATAATCGTGTAATTGGGTCAAGAAGGCCCAATAAGCACGAATGGGAATACTAGGCCCAAGCATCGTGTTGTTTATCCATATGTAGATATTAATTGTAATATATGGTTTGTTTTACACAGAGCACTTAGTTATTCTATGAAAGTATCCGATATTTGAGTTTTAATGATAACATTGTTTTATGGAAATATACCCATTTTAATTTCATTTGTTGTAAAAATTTACATCTTTGGCCCAAATGGTTTAAATGTTAACATACTTAACTCCAAAATATTTATTTGACCATTTCAGCCCATTTTTCATATAAAGTTACATCTTCAGCCCCTTTATTAATAAAAATACATTTTTAGTCCATTTTGATGAAAATTAGCATTTTTGGTCCTTAACTCATTTTTCTTGGCATTTTCAGCCCAAAACATTATTTAAATTGTGATTTCAGCCCAAAAATATAATATTGAACATTTTCAGCACTTAATTGTAAAAATTTACATTTTTGGCCCAAATTCGGTAAGTTTTACATTTTTGGCCCAATTTCCAAAAATTTTGCATTTATAGTCCAATTTATCAAGAAATGTCATTTTTAGCTGTGATTTCTACCCACTTCCAGTTTTGGACTCGAGCTTTGCATTAATGACAATTTAGCCCTTAATTTTTACAAATTTTCGCATTTTGTGCCCAAAACCATGAGGCCCATTATTTAAGCCCAAATGCTAGAATTTATATTTTTGCCCCCCTTGAAAAGTATTATTATCATAAAACCCAACTATAAGCTAGTATTTACCATTTTCATCCTTATATAACCAAATATGTCATCCTCTTCCCAAATACTTTGTTATTTTTGCAAAAATGATACTTATACAATCTTTTGCTTTGTTTTTCCTTTCTTATATATAAAAACACACAGATCCTTAAAGTATCTTGTTTGATATGTTTTTATTTATGAGTCTTTCTTATTTATACTATATATTTCGAAATATATCAAGTATTATCACATTTTTCACAATAATAACCAAAGAAATCACACATAACATGCATACACACCTAGATCAACACATAACACTTGTATTCTCCCCCCAAAAACAAGTAAAAACCAAAAACAAGGGGGTATGAACTCACCTTGGGTTTGTGGTTTCGGTTTTTGAAGTAAAGATGAAGATGATGGTGTTTTATTCAGCCTTAGGAAGCTTCTTGAAGGGACCTTCAAACTTTGATGAGTTCTAGAGAGTATGATCAAGAGGTTAAGGTTATAAGAGGGGTAAATGAGTGTATAAAGAAAGTATGTTTATATAATCTTACCACTAGTATATAACTTTAAGTGATTTTTGGATGAAATCCTTCTTGAAGCCCTTATGACTCTCGAATTTTTTGAGAGGAAGTGAGGTGTTGTTGTTATGAGTTATTGAGAGAAAATTCAAGTGAGTTGTGTGCGTATGTGTGTGATCCTCGGCCGAAACAAATAGAAGAGGGAAGAAGAGAGAGAGTGGTGACTTGCATGGAAGTCCACAAGCAATAAAGAGGTGGCATGCTCACAAAATTTCCCTAATTCCATTTTTTAATTTAATTCTTTTCCTAATCCTTTCTTTTCTTCTTCTTTTTTTCTTTTTTATTGGGCTGAGAATGAGCTTAGAGAGATGAAGAAAATGGTGTTGAGCCCAAACTCTTGGCTTGATCGAATTTCTATAAGCCCCTTATTAATTATCGGCCCATTGGGCTCATTAAACGATTCATGGCCCAATTAGCATAAAAGAATGGGTTTATGGTCCATTAGAGCTGATTAAAGCAATTATGGCCCAATAAGGCCTACTAAGGTAAACCAACTCATTTTGGATCCATTATGGCCCAAAATGTTAAGTTTCATGAAAGTGATTCCAATTAGAGCCCATTTAAGGGTTCTAAGCCCAAAATACTCAAATTGGAAACTTATTGGTCCATTAGGCCCAATAAGGAAATCCTAGTCCACATTGGACTTAAATCGAAAATTTTAGTGTTTCCAATCTTTTGTTGACAAATTGAAGTGTTTGTATAGGGTTTTTGATGAAATTTGTTGTCATTGAATAAACAGCAAGCATGCTTTCAAAATTTTAATTACAATTACTATCATTGTTATAGTTACAAGGATATAGAATTTCGTAGTTGTGCCACAGTCAAACCGATCTAACAAATCATTAGTCATAGCAGCATCCAAAGACTGGGATACAGACCTAACCGGTCACTAAAATAACATCATTCTATAATCAGGACACTGACCTAACCAGGTCACTAACATGATCATATCATCATCCTAACTACAGGGATGTAAACCAATAACATATCATGCCATAATCTGGATAAAATCATAAAGGGTCGGCCTTGGTGCCTTAGACCCTATTTGTGACACCCATAAAATTCAAGCCAACTTAAAACTTTTTAGAATATTTAAAACCATTAAGTTATTACAATTTTTTTTTCAAAATAGTTTAAACATCAGAGTATCCCCAAAATCAAATCATAAAACCATGAAATACGAGAAGCTGTACGATCACGCCTTCGCCTCCCAACGATCATCGGACGTACTTGAAACAATAATCGATAAATGTAAGCTCGAAGTCTTAAGGAGTTACCCCCAAAATACCAACATATAACATTCAGAAAAATAATAACAAACAACATGTATAATGAGCCTTCAGCATGACTAGACCACCTCCTCAGGGCCTACAGCTTATTTGGACCGCTCCCGAGCCTTCGACATGACTGGACCGCCTCGCAGGGCCTACAAGCTATCCGGACCACTAGCTGAGCCTTCGGCCTGACTAGACCGCCTCCTCAGGGCCTACAGCCTATCCGGACCGCCACGAGAATATTGTCCTACAGCACGAGCAGGACTGTCTCAACCCAACCCCCAAACAAACAATCATGTGCACATGGATAACATACAAACAATAACATACATATAGAAGTCAAATAGATATAATAGATCACAAGCATAACAATGATCCTATAACCAGGACACTGACCTAAAAGGTCACTAACATATCATTCTAACTAACAGGATGTAAATCAGTAGGCCTATCATATAATAATCAGAATACAATCCATAAAGGGTCAACCTTAGTGCCTTAGACCTTGTTGATATAGTGAGGATAACTCACCTGACACTGCTGAAGTCTCGCAGATAAAACTCCAATTGCTGGTTGACAGCTTTCCGAACTGTCAACATCAAACAATACCCAATCAATAAATGGTTCCAAACCCAAGGTCCAACTTACACTTCAAAAGCCTAAAATCCAAGTAATAGGCCAAAGCCCAACATATGGCCCAATTTTCCAAATTGGGCCCAGACCTCTACATGGTCTTTCCTTAAGGCCCATCCAATTATTCTGGTCCAATCTTGGTATTCCCATGGCCCAATATCACATAATCATAGAAGCTCAAACTATGGTCCATTTATGGCCCAATTTTCCAAATTGGGCCTAACCCCTCATACGAGCCTTAACTTAAAGCCCATCAACCAATTCTAGTCAACATGATCATTCTTGAATGGTCCATTAATAATCCAATTACCAAAGCCCAATAGAAAGGCCCAACACAAAGCTCGAGTGAAATTAGGGTTTCACATAAAGTGACAATTAGGGTTAAGTGTTTCTTACTTAACCCATTAAGGACTTAATCCATTAAGTCCCTTACTTTACTAAATAAGTCACATGGTGTGATTAGGCTTAATACTGTAACACCCAAAATCAGGAAGACCAAGAAACGAAAGGTTAAGCTCTAAATCAAGAGTCAACTCGTCGAGTCCAGGGAGGAACTCGACGAGTCGAAGCGGGATCCGGGTCATTGAGTAAGTGACCGACTCGGCGAGTCAGCGAGTGGAATCGGCGAGTTTGGTCTGGGCGAGAAAAACCCTAATCCCAGAGGTTGTGCCTTATATAAAGCACATTATAACCCACCCACAACCTCTTTGCTCCCCTTTTGAGTTCCAAAAACCCTAGAATTGAGTGAGCCTTCATTATTTGAGAGAATAGAGCCTTAGAGGAGAGAATCTTGGAGAGGGGCTTGAAGATCAAGGGATTTGCTGCAAATGAGTGGCCTCAGAGGGTTGTCGGTTAGCAGCCATAGGGTTATCAACAGAGCTCAGCAGTTCATGTGAGTTTCCTTCCAGTAGGAACGGGTCTAAGGCCACAATGCCAGCCCGTTTAACTAGCAGTAGTTTCCGGACTTCGGTCCGATGTAGGAATGGCAATGGGGCGGGTTCGGGGCGGGGCATGGTGTCCCAAACCCGAACCCGATTTTTACATATGTACCCGAACCCGACCCGATACCCGACGAGTTTCTTATCGGGGCGCCCCGTCGGGGCTGAAACTTTCCCCGAACCCGACCCTAAACCCGAAACCCGACAATTTCCCGATAACCCGAAATATGGCAGAAAAAAAAGAAGGAAAAACTACAAATACATAATGATAAATCAAAGACGTTGCATAGGCTTAAAATACCAAATAAGTTCTTAAATCATTTAACCAAATAGAAATTACTAATAGTCTAATATTGTAACATCAACCAACCAACCAAAACATCCAAGTACACAACATGAAAAACTAATTCATCACAATAATACATTACCAATTAACATTAAAACAAAGTTACAAACTCAAAATCAAACAAAATCATGGAAACGATATAAAATTAATATTTTTAGAAGTGTCGTTTTACCTCTTCCACATCATAATCAAATTCAACAGAACGACAATATGCCTCGGTCTCTTCAGAACAAGTTGCTGCATAAAATTAATATTATTAATATGCAAAAAAAAATCACAATTTCATATAATTAATATAAAATAGTATACTACCTCGAATTTCATTCAACAACCAACTTTGAGCACACATTAAAGCCTCCAATGTCTTTGGATGAAGTCGACTACGATGAGGACTTACTAATCTTCCACTAGTGCTAAAAGCTGATTCCGAGGCAACAGTGGAAACAGGAATAGCTAATATATCTTTAGCTATCCTTTGTAGTGTCGGGTACTTAATCCCATTTGTTTTCCACCATGACAACAAATCAAGTTCCATATCTTTAGGCAACAATTTCTCCTTCAAGTAGTTATCCAACTCACTCATACCTCCTAATTCATCATCATCTCTAGTAATAGAAGCAATATCCGATAAGAGCTTTTTGAATCCAACATGATGACCGGAAGAGATACTAGAACCAAATGAAGATGAACCAGGAACTGAACCACCATAAAAACCTAATGTTTATTATAAAAATGTTAATAATTTAAGATATGATCTATTTATTATACAAACAATAAGAAAAATATAATACCTTCACTCTTCCTTTTTTTAGATGCATTACTTGACTCGTACTCTTGAAACAAAGTTTGGACAAACGCCTCCAAATTTTGAAATTCAATCTTTGCCTTTTCTTCAGCATAAGGCACAAGAAAAAGTAACTCGACAAACTTTAATTTGTATCGTGGATCTAAAACCGCTGCCATTCCCATTATCCCATGAATTACAGACCAATACTTATTGAACTTAGAAACCATTTGGTCAGCCATCATCTTAATCTCCTCAATAGGAGATTTCATCCACTCACGCAAAGAATACCCAATCTCACATATCAATGGAAAGAAAACATTAGCTGTAGGATACTTTGAACCAGAGAACATAACAGTCACCTCATAAAAAAGTTGTAATCTTTCACAAATCTCACTAGCCAACTCCCAATCCTTTTCTGTAGGAAAACATGTATACTTCGAGTCTCTTGTCTTTACCCGATCGAAAACCTCTTTGTAGCTTATAGCAACACTCAACATCAAGAATGTAGAGTTCCACCGTGTCTTGCAGTCAAGTATCAACTTCTTTGAGTATGGTATTCCCAACTGTTCTGCTGCTGTCACAAAATTTTGCTCCCTCTTTGGTGATGCAGACCAAAATGCAACACTCTCTCTGATTCTCTCAATCTCAAATTTAATGAGAGATAAGCCATCTTGGTCAATAAGATTGAGAATATGTGCGCAGCAACGCATATGAAACAAATTACCATTCATCATTAGTGATTTTAGAGGAAGTTTATCTAATAATATCCTGATAATTGCATCATTTGTGGTGCAATTATCCACAGTAAGTGTTGACACTTTCCTATCAAGATTCCAATCACACAAAGTAGCATAAAGTATGTCGGCAAGAACATCAGATGTATGCGGACAAGGCACGTAAATAAACTTGTTTAAGAATATATAAATATATATGTTAATAATAACATATAAATAATAAGTACGTATAGATTGTAGTTAAATAAGTATAATATACCTCATAATTATGCTTTGCAAGTTCCTGTTTTGATCTACAAAATGTGCTGTCATTGCCATAAATCCTTTTTTTGATGATTAGATTTCCACATATCAGTAGTAACTGCAATTCTGCTTTTGGTCTTTGCTAACAAACTCATAGTTTTATCCCTTTCGTAATCATAAATTCTTTTGATGTCGTCCTTGATGGTGTTTCGACAAGGAACCTTAAACAAAGGTTGAAGACCTCCCACAAACTTCCTAAATCCATGATGCTCTACAATTGAAAGCGGATACTCATGCACAATAATCATTTCAGCCAAATCCTTCCTAGAAGTATCAGCATTAAATGTATAATTTGAAACATGCGTTGTAGTACCATCTAATTTCTTTTTTTCTTGCATCAAGATAGATTGACAAATATCTGGATAAGGTTTGTGTAAACAACGCTGATAATGTGCAAGTAAATTTTTTGTGCCATTCTTGCTATCTGCACCCAACACTTTAGAGCAATGTTTACATCTTGCTTTAACTTCATCATTCAATTTAAATTTTATAAAATGTTGCCATGCCGGTGAACGTGTTGCCCTTTTCTAACCAACAACTTCAATATTTGTTCCATCTTGTTGATCCACAGAATCAATATTTTCTTGATTAGAACCCGAACCTCCCACATCTTGACTACTTGCAGTTGGAGCATGATTTTGACTAGTTGAATTCATATTTCCTGAAAAATATTAGTTTACCTATCAGGACATTATTCTTAACCACACAAATGAAAAAGATACAATGATACAGGGTCACAGTGAGCGATTGAAGAGAAATTACTTTACAGATTCTAAAGGTTCAAAAATCAAAACGTTATTCAGATTTCTAAATAAGAAATTGATCTTAAGAAATTGATACAGGGAATGAAAGATACAGATTACAGTAGGACTGTAGGACATATATTCTAATTGATTTCAAGAATCCAAATTACCACAAGGAATGAAAAAGATACAGGGTCACAGTGAGTGATTGAAGAGAAGGATACAAGTAGTGATCGATTACATATGCTCAATTTCAAGAAAAATGAAGAGAATTAAAGAAAGATGCGATCGAATGATCGATTACCTATGATTGTTTCTTGTGCGTGAGCGTCACTGTGTGGCGTCGATCGAAGACAAAGTCGTTCGATTTGTGGGTTGCGTATCGTCTGTCGTTGCCCGAATGTCCGTTGGTCGCACTATCGTCTATCGCAGGCTCGTAGCTTGCGATTTGATTTCAGTCGATTTGGAATGTCGACTCGGCAATTTGGAATGCCGGCTCTCGGTCTCGGCTGTAACCTAGAAGAGTAGATTAGTAGAAGACAAAGAGAAGAGTGAGAAGTGTGATTTGTGAACGAGTTTTGTTAGGGCTGAAGTGTAATATATATATATATATATATATATATATATATATATATATATATATATATATATATATATATATATATATATATATTCGGGGTGGGGCGGGTCGGGGCAGACACAACCCACTCCCTGACCCGAACCCAGAAAAAATACCTGATAAGAACCCGATACCCGGCCTGATACCCGATAGTACTGACCCGACCCGACCTGAAAACTTCGGGAATCGGGTTTCCCCGTCGGGTTCGGGTTTTTTTGCCATCCCTATTCCGATGCAGTAGTTAGGATGTTTGATGCCTTCATGGCTCAGACAGGGTTTATGTGTTATGTGTTCCGGGCTACGGCCCGATGAAGTATGCAGTTTATGTGTTCATGCTAGTTGATATGTTATGTTATGCTATGTTCAGTTAGATCTGGATTTTGTTTCGATGCAGTCAGTTCTGGACTTCAGTCCGATGCAGGGGACAAGGTCCCAGTTAGTCCGGACTTCGGTCCGATGCAGGGGACAAGGCCCCAGTTAGTCCGGACTTTGGTCCGATGCAGGGAACAAGGTCCCAGTTAGTTTCCGGACTTCGGTTTGATGCAGGGAGCAAGGCCCCAGTTAGTCCGGACCTTGGTCCGATGCAGTGGGCAAGGCCCAGTATGTGCTTATATGTTTGTATGGTATGTGGTAGTTTGGGGAAGCTCACTAAGCTTCGTGCTTACGATTTCAGTTTTGGTTTCAGGTACTTCCGCAAGTACAGTGAAGAGCTCGGGATGATGGCATCACACACACCACAACTTCAGTTGTCCTGGGAGTTGATTTAGTTTTTCATTGATATGTTCTGATTTAGTCTTGATACAATTTTCTTGTGATACGTGTTATGGTTTTGAGATATTGACGTATGGGTTTTATTTCATGGTATTGAATGATGATTTTAGTAATGATTAAACAAAAATTTTTGGGTCGAATTTTGGGATGTTACAAGTTGGTATCAGAGCCTTGGTTTGAGGGATTCGGACACACTTGAGGGATTCGGACACACTTGAGAGTGTGTCTAGACTCAAACTAAGTAAACGGTAAAAGGTTTTCAAAAGAAAAACATTTTCGAAAGGAATTTTTGGTAAAAAGGAGTTTGAGAAAAGAAAAGAGTTTTAGAAAAAGCGAAAAGAATATTTAGAAAGAAAATAATTTGAAAAGAAAAAAAGGGTATGGTGCATGCAATCAGCTGAGCTCAAGTAAGTACTCCCAAATTATCCATACAAGTTTATGATTTTCAGTTTCAGTTTCAGTTTTAGTTTTAGTTCCAGTTCCAGTTTCAGTTTCAGTAGAACAACATGCTAGTATAGGACTAAGGATCTAGGACGATGCCTTATGTGCCTGCTTATGTGTTTCAGCCTTATAGGAATTGCATGCTAGTATTGAGTAGACAGCAGTAGGATAGCCTGTTTAGGTTATGCCTGATAGTATGAGTTCAACATTGTATGCTAGTACAGTTTCTTGATTATGAGAATAGTTTGCATGAGTATGTTTTCTTTATCTGAATGTTGCTTGCTCTGTGCTTAGTGGGACTCTAAATGATGGGAGTTAGACATTAGGTGAATACGTCACATCACATGTGATCAGGGTTGAATAATCTCAGAGTGTTGGATTTGGACCTATTGCGCAGCTCTCGTCTGAGTCTAACCATTGTGGGGAGGAGTCTTTTACTCAAAGTATTATCTGAGCCTCGTCACATGTGATGGTATTCAGGTGGTGGCTAATTGGCATTGTGAGGAGGCCTTCAGCAGCTGAGGACTGTTTGGGTGGAGTCAGAGGTTCCCTAGGGCAAGCCTAGGATGGGAGTAGCAAAGATTAGAAGTAGAGAAAAGGGACTTGGTGGAGTTGAGGTAACTCTTGAGCAAAGTACGGATAAATGTGGAAGGTAGTATGGACCCGTACTACTGAAAGCAGAGGATCCGTACTCGATTCAAGAGGGGCCGAGGCAAAACCAAGGAACTAGTAAAGTGTGTCAAAAATCCCTCAGCAACGGTATGTATATTAATCAGATTTGTGATGTGTTTCCAGCATGGTGACATTGCATGAGATATCAGTTGGCAGTTCAGGTGCCGGGGAACGATCTGGCTCAGGCTTTAGAGCCGGACAGTTTGATGATCAGATGAGAGATGTTATTTTCTGCAGAGATTATGTGCAACATCATTGATCAGACTCCCATGATATTTGGTTCAGTTAGGGAGGCCATTATGGAGCTTTTGGACAGTTGTCTTGAGGATTTTAGGGCCGGGTTAGTTTCAGAGCAGTTTGGGGCTCGTCTAGAGCCCGATCCTTATGGAGTTCAGGGATCCATCAGGGAGGGAGATCCCATTTTTATCTCTTGCCATCAGGGGGATGGGAGTGAGCGGGGCACCCTGTCTCCAGGAGAGACCTCTGCATGATTGGATAGTCAAGGAGGTTGCGTGAGCCATTCGCGAGGAGCTACCCAACATCATTGGACGGGTCACTGGTAGGTTGACCGTGAAGCTCTAGGATTAGACAGCAGTTGTTCAGACGATGGATGGGGTCGATGAGGTAATGCATGAGCGAGAGTCGGGCAGGGAGTCGGAAAGGAAGAGGAAAATGGATGAGACTCAGGTAGCCGCAGGTTCGAGTAAGATGCCTAAGGGGTCGGATTCGAGATCGAGGGATTATAAGACCTGCAGTCGATGCAGGAAGTGTAGTAGGAAACACGGGGGTGTGTGCAGGCGTAGAAGTGGTGGTGATGTTGGATGTTTCAAGTGCGGTTGGATTGGCCATTTTAGCAGAGATTGTATTGTTACCATCGCTCAGGGGCTTAATCCGATATGTTTCCGTTGTAGTCAGAGGGGCTACAAGAAGGCCCACTGTATGAATTTGTATACAGCAGGGCAGGTGCCAGCTCCTGCCCATGGGACTTCGAGAACCACCAGCAGACATCAGGATTGGGCAAGGGCGCCCACAGCTCAGAGCCGAGTTTTCTGGTTGATTTCAGCAAGGATTCGAGCAACATTGAATGATGAGGGTACGTATCTTTTACCTTCCTGTCAATTATTATTCTTGATATTATTGGTATGTTGTTGCATTGTTATCAATAAGCATAAGTGTTGGGGGTATTATATTACCTACTTGTGACTGAGTTTTATGCCATCTGCATACCTTGGAATTAGAATTGTAAACTGGAGGTCGTTCCTTCTAGATCAGGTTACTTCAGATGCGGTGACTGTAGCATGTATGTGTAAGAATCGGTAATGCCTCACTACTTTCGAAAGGTATCATTCGGGATTGATCAGTTAAATCCTTAGTAGTGACAATTTAGAGCTTCTAGTGAGGTAGCCAGCGGATAGTAGGGAAGTGGGTTGGGGATGTGCACCCCAAATGCAGGTTCTCAGGATCCAGTCCCTAAAGCAAATATAGTTAAGGATTGAAGGGTTCTCAGTTAGATAGCAAGAATGGTTCAGATCTGGTAAAAGTTAGTTGGAGCGCCGACAGAGGTAAACGTTGGCGGACAACAGATCACCCTTTTAATGGAAGGAAGGTTGGGAAATCCTTTCGACCAGTGAGCAGTAAGGAGTTAGCCGGATCCAAGTGGGGGAGAACCCTCCGAGTATACAAGGGTAAGAGCACGCAGTTCCAGAATGAGTACACGACCTCTGAGAAGAAAAGATAGTAGTGCAACGATTGATGGATTGAGGAGTTCAGAGTTGGGAGTTGAGGAACTTCCCAACAACGAGTTCATGTGATCGAGATGGTTAGTAGCTGGTTGGGAATTCAGGGTTGGAGGACCACCTGTAGGACTCTAGTGAATCGGAATGAGGATCTTGAGAACGGTTAGCAAGAGATGCTTTTGTGTTAGTAGTCAGTGGCAGAGACGACATGCAGGGTTGTGTGGATTCAGGAGTTGGGGGTTTTTGAAACTTCCCAATGATAGTTTCATGTATCTAGATTAGTAGACAGTTGGTTGGGGAACCAAGCCAAAGAATTCCTCGACGGACCGCTAAGTGTATCAAGGATATAAGATGTCGAGGTTGATTCAGCATTCGATAACTGAGGGCTGCTTTTGAGAAATCAGGATGAGGAATCACTAGCAGGATTAAGGATAGTCAGGATGTCCTTGGGATAGTAGTAGAGTGTTGTAAGTCTGCGGGGGTAGCCGTAGCATTCACTACTAGTCAGATAGTAGTAGAGTGTTGTAAGTTTGCGGGGGTAGCCGTAGCATTCACTAGCAGTCAGATAATAGTAAAGTGTTGTAAGTCTGCGGGGGTAGCCGTAGCATTCACTAGCAGTCAGATAGTAGTAGAGTGTTGTAAGTCTGCGGGGGTAGCCGTAGCATTCACTAGCA